ATTTGCAAGCTAAAATAAAAATATCAGTGATTTCTTATAACATATCCGACAATAGATTATTAGATCATATATTTTACGAAATATGACTATGGTATGAAACGATTACACCTTAGCCTTATATTTTCATCTGTCAGTTTACGTTTCGCGGTTACCGTATGGTAGACTAGAGTATACGAAGTACACAATTGAAGGGGAAACTTCTTAAAGAGTAATACTGCAGAAAATTTAGTAAATTTGCAGATATATGCAAATCTAATGATATTTTTTTAAAAGTGACATACACTCTGCATATATACCTACCAAATATAGCTGCTAAATGCAAGTCTGTAATCTGCAAACCCGTAACGTTGGTAACGTTGATGATCCGGAAAAAGTGAAGCCGATCGAGCCAGACTGATTTTATAAATTTCCACACATTTTTTTTCGGTTTTGTTAAAATTTAAACATGAGCGACTAAGAGTACCATAAAGATATTTTAAACGAAGAAAGTACACATCTAAGGCCCACAAGTGGCGAAATATCTTTGTGGTACTTTTAGTCGCTCTTATTTTTTAGAACGCAAGAATGTTGGAAATACCCTGTTTTCTGACTATTTTCAGCGATGATACAGATTTTAAGTCAACTGAAATTTAATTTACAAACAGAGGATAAAAAATCCAATATGATTTTAAATAAGTACTTGTTCCCAATCTTCAGAAAAATAAATGAATTTTTGTTTACATGTTATTTACTAATTAAGAAATTTGGGGGTCATCCAACATTACTTGTCCTATCTTGTTCTTTGATGGTTCGTGGCTTTAGCTCTTCATCCAAATTAAACCGATCCCGACCGGAGTTATATAAAGAAGAAAGCTGCTATGATTTCATCATGGAATTTGGTTGTTTTGTCTTAATATGGTTTACAAATTATTTGATTTATTTTTAAACGTGTTTTCTAGGTAGCAATTACCATTAAATTGATTACTTAATAATTTTGTATTAATTTCGATCGGGATCGGTTTTATTTCAATCGGGATTGGTTTCTATATTAAAAATTAAAAATATTTTCTTAAATCAGCTCTTCGTTGTATTTTATCATAAGAATATGTCTGTATTTTATTTATTTTCTGTAAGTTACATGTTTTTAGATGATTTTATCCATGGATTACATATATCTTAATTACTAAATGTTTTTCAGGTCCATGAAGATCTTTTTAATTGCTTGTAAAACATCTGTTTGATTTCTTGATAAACACCTTTTTAATAAGATATTTATTTCATGTAACAATTAAAAGCAAATTTTAAGCTTAATAGAATATCTCATTTCCAAAAAAAAAAAAAAAAAAAAAAAAAAAAAAAATTAAATTATCTGAAATAAAAAGAAAATCTAAAAAAAGAAATAGTCCTGCAGTGGCGAAATTATACATTCACGTACTTTAATAAAGCAAGTATTTTTATTTGTGTGTGTGTGTAAGGGTGTGTGTGTGTGTGTGTACAGCCTCGGCTTTAATCCAATTTTCTTCATCCATTCATCATACTAAGGAATATTTTCCTCCTCTAAGAAATTTAATTTGAAATAAATAAGAAAAAAAAAACCTGTACACTCACATACATATAATCATGATAATAGAGCCCAGGAATAATCGCACGAAAAAAAAAAAGCGGGGGTGGGTCGTCTGGGCGGCATCCGTTTTGTAACTGGTTTGATAATAATGAGACATTTTGGAAATTTACCAACCTACTGACTTATTTTAACTCCATATAAAGTATTAGCCTATGTGGAACAATTGTCAAATCTTAAAAACGAAAATAAAAAAAAAATGTTCCATTGACTCATCAGCCGTTTTAGTGTCAGCTTGAAGTGGGGCGTCCAGCAGTAGTATTGGCAACATTTTACTCATTAAGTAGTAAATTTATAGATTTCTGAAACTTATTTGGTCCGACAGTCGATAGTGAGCAATCATATAATGCTGATTGCATGTTTGATATTACTGCATACAAGTTAACATATCCAAGTATTAACAACACTTCATAAAGTGCACACCTCGACTTTGATGAATTTAATGTTGCGTAAATCTGGAATATTCATCATTACTGAATAATAAGAAATAATTCTTAATCTTTTCACATCCCAGTTTTATCAGAAATGTTCATCATAAATTACACTAGAAAAATTATTTTTAGGAATTATAAAATACCAGTATATGTATGTGCTATTAACTCATTAAAAAAAAAAAATAAAACAGCTTAATCCTATTATGATTACTGTAAAGACTGTAAAGACGTTTTGTACATGTATAAAATTACTCATCAATACTGACTTGTTTTAAAACATCTATAGCTGAGGCACCGCCCGTGAATAAAATACATTCTGGATCACAATATTATTTAATGCACTCGAAAAAGTAATTGGGCAGAAAAGAGATATTACTTAACTTAACTTTTTAAAAATCTTTTTCTTTGCCCTTTTACATAAATTTACCAACTTCCACGGAATATTTGCAACTATTGTGACGCAATATTAGATAGGTATTTGACGTCACTGATTCATGAATGGAAACGTAGATTCAACCTGAATAATAAAGCAAATTTTAAACTAAACATTATATTTGGAGGTGAAAATTAATTCCGTTTTTTTTTTTTAAAATAAACCAATTATTTTGGTTGAATGATTTTCTTTAGCGTATCCAGGGGTGTAGCTTGTCTTTAAATTCTAGTGAGGGAAAACTATCGTGGCCAGGGGTCTGGATGTTGATTTAGGCCTCCAGCAAGTTTAGGGCGGAACCCTGGTGGTGTGGGATGGGGTGTGGGTTCAGGGATCGAAGTCCTGACGGAAAATGAATTTTGGGGTTCTAGAATGCAAAGATCATACCTGTCCTCGACCTGGACAGAAATTTCATATTAAATTTTATCGGTTTCATTATTGAAGACTTCAAAGTGCATATAATACTATATATTTAAAAGTATCTAATAGAGTAGCCTAAAGAAAAAAACAAACTAAAATTAAATTATGGAAAGGGAAAGATATTAAAAAATCTAGTGAGGCAGTTGCCTCATTGCCACAATGGAAGCTACGCCCCTGGTATCAGTTCTAAATATCTCACAGGGGTTCTGATAGTAAGATGTTTAGCCGATTTCCCGATGCTACGGGAGATAACTCTTGCATCACAGAAATTAAAAAAAAAATTACTGTCTATTTTGAAAGAAAACTACTATTGAAAATATTTTTCTCACTAATTTTATTTTTTAAATTAAAAGATGGAATATTTCTTGATTTAGTTTGGAGTGAATTATAGATCTGTTGAAAATGTATTAGAATTTACAGTTCTTTGTTTCCGACCAACATTCAATGGTTTACATAGGAGTATTTAAAAACACAAAACAAAAACGATATTTTAGTAAATAAGCTATTTTTAACAAAATCTTTACTTACATTATTCCATATGGACTATATTAATATCGTTTTCAATAAAATATCAAATATTCGTCACATTCGATGTGCCGCCTATTAATACAATACTACCTGGTTTTCTGCTGGACTGCCTCTTAATTTCATAATTTTGGAAAAGACACTATTGCTCATCGTATCAATTCATGGGGTTTGTTTGCTTAATACCCAGGAGCAGAGAAAATGTGAAGGAAGTTATTCTTTTTAACTATATAATCAATAGAGCCCCGCCCTCACACTAGAACACCTGACTCGGGGACCATGAGATTTACAATTGGGAGGAGGCATCCTTGCCCATCATAACTTTGCATTTAGTTTATCTTCCCAATACCCAGGATCAGAAAGGAAGATTTTCAAAGAAACAATGCATTTTCAGTATAAAATCAATAGAACCCCCCCCCCCCCCCACCCATCACCACCAGAACCCCTGAACAAGAAGTCATGAAACACACAATTTGAGGAGAGACACCTTTGCTCATACCTATGCAGTATTTCACAATTATTAAAGAGCCACCCTTGCTCATCATAACCATGTACTATTTCATCTGCTAAATTAATTAGGGTAGAGAAGAAGAACTCCAACCTAATACCACAGAATAATGCACTTTCACTAATCAAGAGCCCCCCCCCCCCCCCCTCAGGCCACAAATTTTACATTTTTAAAAGAGGCATCCTTGTTTATCAGTTTATCATAACTAAGACTTTTTAAGAATTTACCAATTTTAATCATATCATCATTAGAGCCCTACTTTAACTCCAAAAACCCTCATGTTTGGCCATGAAATTATAAACAATTATGCTATAGGGTTTAATGCTTATTACAATCATGCCAACAGTTGAACTGCTAATTGGTATCCAGGAGTAAAGAAGATTTTTAATATAGCACTTTTTATGGTTTTATACCCATCCTTAAGCCCCAGGGTGCAGGGATCATGAAATTCAAAATATTTGTTCCCCTTCGCTCATGGATGCTATTTGCCAAAGTTGGTTGAAATTTGTTCAGCTGTTACAGAGAAGAAGCTGAAAATTAAATGTTCAAATGTTAATGCACTACGAACGACGGCGGACAAAAACAAATAGCAATAAGTCACCTGAGTAACTCAGATGACCTAAAAAGACACTATTAATGACATTAAATAAACATAATCTTTTTTGCTTTGTCCTATCTTTGATTTTAATTCAGCAAAAACGTTTTAAGATCATGAAATGAACAGAAATCTTCAGGAAATAAAGGACATACCTAAAAATTCATCGTTTTCCCATTGTCTCAGTCTCTGATTTCTTTTCCTAACTCTTACTAATATCAAAAGTAGAATGAGAATCAACATTACAGCTACAAAACTTCCAACGACTGCCCCTATTAATGCGGAGTCATCCTTTGAGAAAATTGTTGGTTGAACATGCATTGCTCTTGTGTTGTTGATCCTATGATCAGTAGTAAAGGTAGTGACAAATGTGTTTTTGGTAGTTGTATGCCATGTCCTATATGTTATATGGGAAAGATGGGAAAAATATAGACTTAGAATGATTGTTAATTTGAAACATACCATATGTTAAATATCATTAACTTACACATTTCCACAAAATGGATCAGCAAGATAGCAGTGATGTTCTGTATTAATTCTTAAACAGGCTGGATCTAAAAAATAATAAAAAAGAATATATTTACCTGTCATTACATAAAGGATAAAGTTTTTAGTTAAGTGTACGGATGTCGATTGAAGTAAACACCTTCAAAGAAATTGTCCTTACATTTGTACATTTCGTTGATGTGGATTTCTGTATCTGGACAGCCCATAAGAAAATAAGAGCAGTTACTTCTAGACAGCATATCGTCAGTGGTTTCCAAACAATAACCTAAAACATACATTTAATGATATGATAGAGATTTTTAAAATGCAATGGCATTAACCTTTACCATAGGATACTCAGTATTTGGCATTAAATTAAATTAACTTCGCTCTTTGTAATTAGAATACTTAGTATCCCATTTACACTGAATTTCAACTTATTGATGTAAGTATGATTACATAGTTGTCGGTGTACAATCAAATGTAAAATGACGGTCTTTCTCATTTTATTAACCGTCCCGATTGATAATTTTTAAAAGCATGGACCTTTATTGGTATGTTCGAAAAATGTTAAGATTTGTACTTTTAATTTTCTTAAAAACTATACATCACATACCTCTTTCCAATATCCCCATGATTCCATTGTGACATAATTCTACCAGACCCGTCTTCTCTGAGTTAGGTAGACATAAGTACTGATTATTATTATACTTGTCTTGACCACATCCCAGTCTTGCAGATGCTTTTAAAAAATCTGTCAGGTTCTGGGGACAAGAGTCGACTATATCAGCCATTGTGTACAAATTAAAATCTAATCAAAAGAAATGAAAAGTGGTAGATGGAAATTCAGTTAAATGTTGTCAAAAATTGTCGAGTCAAATAATATTAATTCTAATAAGTTGGCTTTCAGAAAGCAAGAATTGTCATCTCTTTGGCTTCATGAATGTCACAGAATAAACAGTGGAATGTTACATTATTTTCTCAGCTACTACTGGCAGTAGTATCGCTTTTGAAAAAAAAGGGGGGGGGCAGAAAAAAAAATCGACGAGTTATCTGAAAAATCTTTGACAAGGGGAGAAAAGGGGCTGTCCAAACTCAACGTTTTCACTTCTTGGAAGGGGGAGGGGGTGGCTGGGTGGGTTACAACTTTTCCGACAAACATTATAATTATAATGTTATATTATAATACATTCCAAAGGGACCATACTGCAACAAAAGATGGAAGAGGAGGCAAGGGCGAGCCTTTCAATGAACATTTTCAATGTTTGGGAAAAAAGTGGAAGGAAGGGGGGACCATCCTGATGCTACGAACCTGTATCATTTTACCTGTTGTAAATATGCTTTATTCATTTTAAATATTTTTTTTGTACAATGTCTAAAAAAGAATTCTAACCACTGAGATATATTCGTAATAATTAGTTTACTAACAATTATTCCGTAAGAAGATGGATAAAAACTTAGCGTTCATTTTGACTTTAGTTCTTAGTCGCCTACTACGGCAGTAAAGAAGTTTTAAAGCGCTAACTTAAATTAATCCGAACCTCAATTAATTTCCAAAGATTTTTCTTATTTTCCTTAATCGTATCCTCTGAAGTGACTTGGCCATCGAGCCACTTGGAATATCAAGGGGAAAATTGAGACACTCCTGCATCATACCCTTCTGCTGCCCATGCAGTTTCATGTTTTAACGCTATATGTATACGCTCCTGGGAAAAAAGCATGATAGGAAGGTTAATAAAATTGAAAAGTTACCACTAAAAATTAAGTATTTGCACACTTAAAAGAACCCCAATCTAACAATAACCTTGCTAAAAAAAGTACACATCCTCTGTTCATAGGTAAAGTTTATATGAAATATGGACATCCATTTTTTTCTCCAATTGAAAATTAGAGACCTGTCATGAATTTTAGTTACTTAGTAACTTTTTAGTAACCTTTAACCTGCCTATAAGAATCTTTGGCTCAAAGTCACAACACGTACGCCCTCGGAATATCAACAATCTTTGTACATGTAGCAAGTATGATCTTCAAAAGATTCTCCATTACAAAATTATAGTCCCGAATATTAAACTTGTTCTTTCAGTGACCATAAATGTGCCGATAATATTCAAGTATATTCAAGTTTTCGTGATTATTTCATATTCAAATTATACTAATTTGAATTTTTGACCGAAGGCTGCTCTTGGTTTATAGTGTTATGACAAAAATAGGGTTCACAAATTTCTAGAACAACTCCTGAAATGTAATGCAAAAACTTTACGCAAAAATATCTATATCTCAACAAACAAAATGCTCCATTTACAAGAATTGAAACATTCGATTCAATCTTGTTTGAATTGAAATTCTGTAGGAACTTAATTGTCGGGACTAATTTTATGTAAGAAGAATATATCCGTTATAACTGAACTAGATTGAGCCCCTGAGATAGAAATTTTGAAAATGAAGTAAATAAAGGTAAGTAAAATAGTTTATGAATACATGTTCGTAGGTGGATTTATCCTTTATGCTTTTCTACATTTTTGCCCCCCCCCCCCACCCGTAATTGAAGATTCGGGGATATCACTACGGGACGAAAAATGTGCTGAGAATCCCAAATTTTACTGATAATGTTTGATAATTACTGATACGGTGCTGTTCTTGCTGATAAATACTGATATTTACTGTTATTATTACTGTCGTTGCTGGTAATTTTAGTTGTTTCTGATAAATACTGATAATTACTGTCGTCTTTACTGTGGAGTCTGATAAATACTGATAAATACTGTTGATGTGCTGTCGATGCTGAGATTTACTGATAATTACTGTGGTCTTTGTTCTTAAGCTGGGAAGGGTTAAAGAAGAACTGAGGGCTGTAAAAACCTTCAATTATTTCTTTCTTTTAATTATAAATTATCATTACGACATTTTCATATTTCTTTAAATGTTCTGCTAGTGACAAAAATTACGCTGTTCTCATTTACTACAATGCGGTTGTGAAAATGTTGACAATAAATAAATGAAACCTTCCGCGTATATTAAGCAAATGTTTTCTACCAATCTATGAAAATAGTATAATTTATCTGTAAGCAAGACAAATGAAATTTTATTAATGTACTGTAAATAAAAAGAAAATAAGGCTATCTTTAAAAGATTCATCGCCGCCCTCTCCCGACTCCAAGATATTTGGGCAGGGAGGTCGATGATGTTTTTTTCAATAATAAGAAACAGTTCTTAATGGGTGGAAAAAAATTCGGGATAAAAAATATTTCCTGCAGGTTAGAAAAGTTTGATTCGCACGGTTTCACTCCGTCAACTGGTCAAGAGAGGAGGACATTTTCTTTTTAAAGATGACCTTTCATATAGCTATTTTTGTTTTTTCTTTCTAAAGACATTTATTTTTTTTCATTTTTAAGTGTTCGGTTTTCCGGTCTCTGTCAAGATTTTTGAAAATTTGCTCGAAAATTAGAAATTTTATGCATTTTTAAATTTAATAAAGAGATGAAAACAGAGCTGAACATGTTCAATCTGGAGACACAGATTATTTATTTATTTATTTATTTATTCATTCATTCATTTATTTGAACGTAATATGGGCATTTTAGATTCTTCCAGAATATCTCTTCTACATCTACATGAACACGATACATACATGTGCAACCGGCAGATTGGGAGCTGATTAAAAAATTAGTGCATGGTCAGAGCGAAGGTACACATGTGTTTATGTTATTTTGATGTTGGTCTCTTAAAATTCCATGACACAAAACATTTTTATTCAGTAAGTTTTAAAATCTCATTAGTTTAATTTTATGGAATGTAAAATAAGAAATGAGACCTAATATAATATGTTTACTTAGTAAAGCACATGTATATGATCAAATTGATCGATTTTAATCTTGTGTGGTCAAAAATTGCATGGAATAAATTGATCTTCATTGATCAAAAATCGAAGATCAGTCTCTGATTTGGCTGTATTGTGTACAAGTCTTCCGCCCCGGGGTAGAACGGGGTACAACTTGTATATTCCATGTAAATTGTAGTGGTCAGCGTAACAATGGACACTAATTACCTATTGTTCCTCGTCTGCGGCCACCGGTGTACATAATAAACAAACTACCTACACTGTACATGTACTTTCTTCTTTGAGCAGGAAAATCTTTACGGGAACACGGGAAAAAAATTATCCTGTAATATTCAATTTGTTGACGAATAAAATTGAAAATTGAAAAAAAAAAAATTAGCAAAATAGGACATTGCAGTACTAAGAAAAAAAAAAAGAAGAAATGAAGTTATATACGTATACATTGTACAGACTTAATATTCAATAATTATTTTATTTCACATAAAGCTATCTTTGCTCAGTATTTAATTTTATTTGTTAGTTTTATGCACATTTCTTGATATGCTTGAGATAAATTTAAAAGAAAATTCCGGGGAGAGGGCTACATGTATTTTCAGTTCTGAATCTCGGTTAACGATGGTTTGGGGCCCGTGAAACGGAGACGAGAAATTGATACGGAACATTTGACTTCATCTTATAATTAAAACATTATGCAAAATGTACATATAAATTAAAAAAAAAAAAATAGATGGTTTAGTGAAAGCAATTATTGAAATTATATTAGCATTAACTGTTCACAATTCAAAAACGGGGAATTAAACTCTACATCGCTCAAAATCTTTTATGAATTTTGAATGACAGTAACATGACGTTGTTTAATTATCGCACTCATGAATTTATAAATGTTATAGTTCTGAAATTGGTATCGTTCATTGCTTCTCTAAAATAATCTTATTCATGTATATAAAAAATATGTAATAAGTAATTATAACATGTATGACTTATTAAACATAAAACTAAAGAATCAACCTTGCGCGTATCAGTTTTAAGTTAACAGTATTTCACCCCATCCCCCCTTTTGTGCTACAATAAAGCATAATCAAGTCGGTAAGCGCCCAGCCTGTACTGTTCGTTTATACAAAGGTCTCCGACAAGGAGAAAATGGAATTAAAAAAACATTATAATCTTTGTACAAAACTATTTCTAATTTTACAAAATTCATGTCGCACGATACACAGAATGTACTAATAATTGACCCGATTCTCAAAACGAAAGTAGAACTTTTACACGTGGTTGACATGTGTGTTCCAGAACAGCAATTTAGCTAGACGGCATTGGACGAAAGTAACTTCAAGTTTTGTTTTATTTTATTTTGTTTTGTTTTGTTTTTTTTTAACTGACTGCGTATAACATGTATAAGCAGTTATTTATTGATCTCCCTGATACTGGCGTATGTCCATAGACCTAACGCAGATTTATGTACTATTAACAAAGAATTAAAGAAAGACGTGTATTTCATTGATTGAAAATCACACTGCATAAGATTTATAGTGTACTGATGGCTTAACAATTAAAATAAAAAAAATAAAAAAAAAAACCGAAAGATAGAAAGCCTCGATACCACACAATGATATCAAATTCGCATCGAGGACATAATCAGAGAACTAGAGCGCTCTAGCTATATGTATATAAAAGAGATTATTCTACAAATTAAAGATGTTTTATTTTTATTATTTAAACCTGTCACATTCTTCAATAAAAGGACATTGTGTACACAACATAAAATCAGAATAGATTTTTTTGTGAAATATATTTAATACTGGCTAAAGTGTCTTCTTAAATTGAGAGTTATATGTAAATAGGGGGGGGGGGGGGGTCAACTTGTAGAGCTCATACATGTTCAGTTCTCCACACGAAAAAATAAATTGACAATAACAACCATTGACTATATTAAAGATGCCCTCTAA